TACAGTTCTCATAATGCACCACCAAATCTACAATAGTCATACCGTAGTCCAGGTGAAGGTGAAGGCAGGAGTTGAGGCTTTCACTCCTCTGGTTACTTCGCATACCAAGGAAAAAACCATCGGAAAGATATGAAGCTGCCCACAGTCTCCTCTTCCTGTACATCCTGTCAAGCCACTCTTCAGTTCTATCCGTCTTCCATTTATCATAGAAAGCTTTCCATCTCTGCTCAAAGTTCGCTTAAGAGGTGGCATAGTACAAGAGCGATCTGAACTCATCCAGTGACTTGTAATGCAGGTGCCTCTGCATATTTTTCTCGATATGCCAGGAGCAAAGACGATGGAAAACATCTGAAAGAACAGTCCCAATAGCCCGGATCATTGCAGCGTCACCGTCTGTGATGATTGACTTTGGCTTCACCTGACAGTTTGCCTTCATAAATGTCTGCAGCAGCCACATGTATGTCCCTTCCGTCTCATCAGCAATGATGGCACAACCGAACACTATGGTGCAACGGTGTTTGTTAACTCTGACAAAGGGGACGAATGGCATACCGTATCTATTCATCTTATACGTGCTATCAAACACGACCACATCTCCGTAGTCCTGATAGTCCCTCCGCGACTGTGCATCGCACCAGAACATACTCTTCAGTCTCCCTTCCTTGTCAAGCACATACTCAAAAAAAACTCAGGGTCCTTCTCCTTCCTGCTCCTCATAATGCCAACTGCCGTCTCTGCATCACCCTTTGCAATGAGCTTCATTTTTTCTCTGCAGCAAAGATTGTAAATGTCCCTCCTGATAAGCCCGCACTTATCGTACAAACTGTATCTGCTGATGAAGTTGTCCATTATAATATGCTTTCTTATCCTGGCCGCTTCCATCGCTAATATCTCGGCTCTCTGGCCATCTCCAATCCGTCTGTGTGACCATAAAAAACAAACCTCGTCGGGCCGAGCCATCGCGTGGTTGTGATCATCCACGAATGATGCGATGAACCAAACGCCACGTTCTCTGTCCAGCTTCACCACCATATGTGCACTGCAATCGCAACGAGTCTCCGGTCTAAGCCTACGCTTGCGGCCCTCCATGGTTATGAACTTGTTCTGCCTTCTCCCTGCCCTGGAGCAAAGAAACCGCCGGTACCGTATCATTCCCGAAGCACCTCGTTTCACCTTCTGTTTTCTGATACTAAACCCGTGCTCTCTGGCATGATTGTTGTAGAATATGTATGCATCCCCTTGTGACCGAAAGGTCATAGCCATGACCTTCCAATGTGTCTCAAGCATCTTCTGCTGCCTTTGAGCCCCCTCAATACCGATCTCTCCCTCATCGTGATCAATGCTAGGACCATCTGACTCCTCCTACAACATTCATTTGAAAATATATATGTCAATTACTATCATTTAAACCCTCATTTAAATCATAGTATTGATCGATGTACAACATCTATCAACTAACCTGGCTCAAATTATCTGCTGCCAACTATGTTGCACATTGTCAACATCCACATCTTCCTGCAAATTTGTACACATAGTTAGCCATGCCATACTTTGCAAATTCAAAAATAAAATCAAAATATACGCCACTTACGTTTTCACTATTTGCGCCATGTTCATTACTATGAAAATCATTCGGAGGTAAGATATCATATGACGAGACGGAACCATTGTCGCTGCTGTCATCATCTTCGTTCAAATTATCATTATCAGTCTTAGTCACCTTATCAGTATCATTCTCGTCCCTCCCGAATGCGGATTCTTCGTCCATGTCAACACGCCTAGCTAACTCACAAAACTGCAAAACATTTGAAGTGTTGATTCCAACAATGACAAAAACTCATGTTGGTTTGCAAAAAAAGAGAAAGACGTGTAATCCATGAACCCAGCAGCTACCATGAATTTTTTTTCTTAATGCAATGGTTCAAACAACACTTTTTGTGTTGTGTGAAACAACTAGTTGAGGTTGCCCAGCGGTGTGTGCATATTGTGTGATGTCGTCATGACAAAAATAAGTGTTCTTTAAATTAACTAGCCCTAACTTCTATCCTAGATTCGCCACTTAACTAGCCCTAACTTCTATCCATCATGTCCACTAGGTTTAGATGACAAACCTTGCCCCGCGGTGTAGGCGTCGCCGGCGTTCGATGACGGCAGCTGTCCCCGCCTTGAATCTACCAGCCGGCCACATGCACGACGAGCCATCGGCCGGATGTTTGGCAGGATCCGCGACGGGGGGTGGGGAGACTGGTCCGGATGCGGCGTGGCACGTCGGGCCCTTCACGTCCGGGGGGTGGATGATGACAGTGAGATGTGGCGACGCACGCCGTTGGGACGGCGCGGTGGCGTCTGACGGGGTCGGACGGCGGCGATCCGCGGCGCCGGCGATCGGATGGGGCGGGCGAGCACACGAGGTGGGCGGTGGAGTAGATGGGGTG